AACATAATCATAGATATAAGAAACAATGAATTATATATATATATATATATATATATATATATATATATATATATATAATAGTCATAGGGTACAATACATAAATCAAAATACAAGAAGATAGAGAAATAAAGTCCTAATCCTCAATAGGGGGATTGGGGAAATGCCTCTACAACCAACTCATCATTTGCTCGTGCCACTATTGTTGCTAATGATGTTGATAGCGCATCTCCTCTTGTACGGTTGTGAGGTGGCTATCAAAACTCTACTGCCATCTCTCTATCTGCTGGCAGAGGGCCTCAATGTCTAGTTCCCCCTTAAGACTATGGATGTGGGGCTGCCGGATGCTCCTATGGTGGTTGTTGCTGTTGAGCGGGCTCCTCCCCAAAGATGATGTCGTTCATGTCAAATGCCTCAACAACAAGATAACCATCTTGGGTGAGATTAATGACACCCATGCCCCTCAAGGTGAGTGCGTCGAGAGGTTGAGGGGGTGGCCAGGTCTTAGTGTCCGTGTCAACGATCCTAAAGTGCTCGGCCACTTGCGCGAGCATAGCTTTGACCACTATGTAACCACTACGGCTAGTCATGCCTGACCTCTCACTGTAGTCCTAGACGTGGCAGAGGAAGAAATCCCCTAGGTTGCAGCGAACCCCGCAGGTCATGCAGTACAAAGGAAAAGGTCTCTCTACATGACAGAGCCTAGACTCTAGTGGCGTCCATGAATAGCACCTATCATGAGCTTATGGACCATGCAGAGTGTGGGGTCCCTAAGCCTCATGGCCTTGACGGTCCTAGGCATGTCTGCCTTGCCGGTGAGCTTTAGCTTCATGACGTCAATGGGAGTGTCAGTGATGGGGGTGAGAAGACTAGCATCATACTCCGGTTTCACGAGTTGCTCCTTTGTCACGAAATCGACTATCCGATTAAACTCCGCCAATGTGATGTTGCGGAGGACCCTGCCCATCCAGAATGAAACTATCGGCACATCTGGTCCCTCAGGTGACTTGTTTGTATACTGCCTAGCCAAAGCCAAAAACTCAATCGTCACCTCCTTATAGGCTCGACCCAGCGGCTACAATAAGAACTCCCATCCAATGGCCATATCCCAAAAGTCCCACCTGTTCCAAGATGGTGAACTCCAACAATCGAGCATACATGACCTCGAAGTTTCGCAAGTGCCTCCTCCACCTAAAGACCTTATTGCTCATGACGGGGCCCACAAGGGCTAGACTAGTAGTTGTGGTGATGGATCATATGGTGGTGGTGGTAATGGAGAGAGCATCCAAAGCCTTTTACCTCGACCGTGGGATGATCCGCCTCGGTGCATAGTGAGAAATGAGGGAAAAGGATACTAAAATTTCTCTAGAGAAAGTATGGATGTTTTGGGAAATAGATAAGGATTATGAGGGGGGAAGGGCTTTATTTAGCCCCGAAAATGTGTAGAACGGTCGTTCCAGGTCTTGGAACGACCTATTTTGAGGCAAAACCAGCTGTTCTAGCCCTTGGAATGGGATGTTTTGGTTTAATGCTAATTGGAACGGTCCGTTCCACCTTTGAAATGAGGCGTTCCAACTTAATGGTGACCAAAATGAG